ATGGTCCTCACTGCGTGTTGATTTGGACATAAAGTGGAGCATAATTTAAGTCGCTGCGCCCGCATTAATCACCAGCTGGCATGTTAATATTTCTGATTGAAACCGACAAGATGGTAGGTGGTGCAACATATAGGGTTGGGTATAGCTGGCTAATGACGGCTAGTAAGCGAGAAATGGCCAATTTGCTCTCCCTGATCATTTGCCTATAATACTAACTACTGTGCGGCCTATTTGCAGGGTGCCGGAGTGAAACAAAGTACAACGGAAGTAGTGTGTTTCGTAACCTAAGGATGAGCCCTCATCCACCAACATCATGAATATGTTTTATGATGGAAAAATGCCCCATAGGTAACCTGCAATAAAAACCTATTCAACTTCAAGACAAAACTGGGCACTCGGGACTGACTAAAGATCCTTGTCTCAAATGACGTATGAAATATCTCGTTACGTATATACTGAGGTTTATCGTTCTTTTCAACACCACACATCTAAAATCGGTAAAGAAAAACGAAATTCCGGACGCTGATGCAGATTTCAGAAAGACCAGTAACGGAAACATAAGGCCCGCTTTGATTAGGCCAATATTTTTAACAAGGCTCACCAGGTAATTGGAAAAGCTGAGGTCAGCTTCATACTTGTTATTTACAACAAATTTGATTATTGGAACTTTGGCTTGAAGAACCGGCCGCATATGAGAAATTCCCAAATTTCTTGCACCCCTGGACAATTGCTGTTTGAAGGACTTGATAATCTGCAATTAAAGGGGAAAATGCATCATATGAAAGGAAGAATCACTGCAAAGGAGACGGTTTTCGAATGAGAAGAATAACGACACCGCAAGTCAATACTGAATCAGACAGTGAAAAACATAAATGGCTTGAACAGCCTTTGCATGACCACAGCTAAAGGTAAGGATCTCTTTCGCACAATTTCCACATGGCGTCGCTCTGGGAGACTGACATCGAGGCGGATAATATCTTGGAAGGGTTAAAGAGGGGTGGGAGGATGATATTTCCCAGACGGACTGAGTTCAGACTGAGTTCAATATCCCTTACCGTTTGGTCGTCATAAGCTGACAATATGTTGAATATCCGACTAATTTCCTA